TGAGTACTCCCTGCTTGTGGACTTGTGCCACATGTACTCTACGCCGAGTAAATCATTATTGCACTTCGACCTTGTGTGATCGTTAAGATGCTTGTCCCGCTTGGTAATGAGTTCTTTCCTCACTAGGTGCTCCTTACTTTCTGCCTTGTGCCACACGTAAACTACGCTTAGTAAATCATTGTTCCATTTAGCACTTGTATAATGTTTAAGTATCTTGTTTCGCTTTATCAATTATGACTGAGTAGTAAATTAGATGCTCACTGGATGCTCCGTATTCACATCCTTGTGCCAGACCTAAAATATACTCAGTTACAGTATATATTTAATTAATTCCCAGTGTTTCGTGTGGACACACACAAAAATCTTTGAATTTTGTCCATCAGATATCGACCTCAGTTTTGTAAATATCTCAAAATATTTAATAAATATCTATATGACATTATGTCTTGCAAATTCGTGTCTTATTAACTGGGGTAGAGAATTAAATTTCCACTGCCCCCCACCCCCCCACCCCCCCCCCCGACATTGTGCTCCTTTACTATGAAAATCTCTCACTTGCTTGACCTTGTCTGTCAGATTGCGTGCATTGTTGCAAGACGTTCACCAGTGAACAAAAGTAACAACGTTCTAACACAGAGATAGATATCAACACAAACACGTACGAAAAATTAGTAGTAGTAACATCAGTCCTAGTTGAAGCGCCCATGGAAAATATAGTAGTAGTAGTAGTTTTGTAATTTGTTATTTTTGTAGTAGTAGGAGTAGGAGGAAGAGTTTGGATTGTGTTGGTAGTAACATGGCTGTTTAAATTTGGAGAGTACAAGTAGACCCAAGGAATAGGTCGTATTGTCCGAGTTTGAACAGCCAAAGAAGAAGTTGATTATCCGACTTTTGACCGTGATAAAAGCGTATTATCTGTCCTTTCCTCATTTTAGATGGAAGAAGGCACCCGATCACAGACATTCCAATACTGATGAAGTATCTTGCACGAAGAGAGTTGGAGTTGGTGCAATAACAGATGCCAACGTGACAATGGTAGCTAAAATCGGGCATGTTTTGTCCTTGGCCCATGTGCATTAAGAAAACGTTTCGAATTCCGGTGAAATCCATTACATTCACTTACGTGCTAATACCATTGGGAAAGGTATGAATCCTCTTCTTCTCTCTCTCCCACCCCCTCCACTAGGATAGACCGGGTTCTATAACTTTGGAAGGCAACTGGTCAACCGCATAAAGAAATGGCAACCTACTGCGAGAAAAAAAATATGCCTCATCATTCATGTATCGAAAGATACATGATCGCCTAAGCACATGGCACATAACTGACTGAAGGGCACACCGTAAAAAAAGACGTTCTATCACATCCCGCCTGCTTAGGAAGGTCCTGTAAATACCTCTCGGCCTTTTGGTTGAGATCAAAATCTAGTATCGGCCTTCGGGTGGATAAGCTATATTCAGTTATATCTCAATGTCTTAGGAGGCACGGTGGAGTCATGGATAGCGACTCGAATTGAGGAATCGGAGATCCGAGTTCGAATTCCAGTGAAATCGATTACATTCACTTACGTGCTAATACCATTGGTAAAGGTATGAATCCTCTTCTTCTCCCCACCCCACCCCCAGTCATGGGTATATAGCAGGACAGCCTGGGTTCTGTAGACTTTGATGGCAACTGATCTACCGCATAAAGAAATGGCAACCTACTGCAGGATAAAAAAATCTGCTTCGTCAGTCATGTATCGAAAGATAAATGATCGCCTAAGCGTGTATCACGCATGGCACTGAATCGGAGAGCCGAGTTCGAATTCTAGTCGAATCCATTACATTCACTTACGTGCTAATACCCTTCTCCACCCAGCTATGGATAAATAGGGTTCTATTGGTATGTATCACGTATGGTCACATAACCGACTGTGTCTCAGTTGCGTCTGTTGGTTGATTTTTGTTTAGCGGCATATCAACATTATTTAAGGTTATTCAATGCCAAAATCTGAATATTTTATCCCGCTTGGTAGTAAGTTTGTTCCTCACTGGGTGCTCCTTACTTTCTGCCTTGTGCCACATGCTTATGACTTCAACTACAGATAAAATGTATTGTCGGTCATTTTGCTATAAAATGTATTTTTTTATATAAAACTATAATAAAATGTATCGCTGGCCATTTTTCTTTAAAAATATATTTTTTATACTTTCACAGAGTTTTGTTTTGGTGGAGTTCACTGTGGAAATAGCAAAAGATGCCTTTCAGAGACTAAGTATAACAAAGAAAGAGGAAAATTTCGTTAAAAGCAAAAGAGCGCTGAACTACGATGTCATATTTATCCTCAAATATGGCAGTCAGTACTGAACAATTTCCTCACAATTCAGTATTTCATTTTAGAGATGAGGAATTTAATATAGTGGTATTATTTTGGACTGTTCTTCTCTCCTTGGTTGATATAAACGTCATACCAAGTGACCTCTGGTCATCATCAGGTATCCATTGGTATGGATATTTGTTTGTGTTTTTGTCCCTGTAATGTGTTAACGTTCGTTCCCGATGAATTGGTGCGTCACTACTTTTTCATTTTCTTTTTCTTTAATTATTTCACCCCATGCAAGGACAATAAAGCAACTAAGACGCAAGAGTTTTGTTTTAACCAAGTAAATGGTTAAGTAATAACAAAAACCAGGTTTGTAGATATATCATATAACAAACAGTAAGTACACCAGAAGAGTATTACACGACTAGTAAGAGTGCATCGAATGAACTAGCGCTCAATCTATTCACTGTCCCCGGAGCCTTCTCTCCAACTAATCTTATAGTAGGTGGAAGAGTCTACAATAGTCTCTTAAGAGGGAGGACACCACAACAAGTTTACCAAATGTTAAAGAATATGAAAAAAACTACTATTAAGGAGAGAGGACAATAAAAGAACAATAATTGAGAAAATAGAAGATAACAATTGACACTGCATTTAAATTTTTGAAGATCAAACTTCACTGGGAAGCAAGGAGCCGCAAGGGAATTTCAAAAGCGAAAAGTGCTAGAGAAGAAACAGTTAACATAGAAATTGCGGTGACATCTAGCCATTTCAACTGTAAAAGGATGAGACTGCTTAAAATCATAAAGTCTGAGTACCATACAAGAAAGTTCATCAGAACAATTACCATGAAAATATTTACAGAAAAGGCCGAGGGAAGCCACATTACAGCGGTGGGAAAATGACTGAAGTGCCAGGTTGGGACCAATAACATTGCAGATTCTTCTTTCGATTATATGAAGAATATTTAGATATATAGCAGGAACACCAGACCAGATATGAGTGCAATATTCAAAGCAAGGACGAATGGTAGATTTATAAATATGTAAAATAGATTCTAGAGGGGGAAAAATGTCTAGCACGTCACAAGAAACGAACTTTCCTAGCAGCGGACCTAGCAATTGATTCCATATAGTCTTTCCACCTGATGTCAGCAGAAAACGTTCGTCCGAGAAGGCGCAATGTCATTTTCCTGGAGGTTAGCATCTGCCATGCTGATGGAAGGTAAAAATGGTTCTCTCACACGATTAAGAGAGGGCAATTTCGTCTTGGAGATGTTAAATTTAACACGCCATTACTTGCCTCAGTTAAAAACAGAATGTAAATCATTTTTAAGATCAGCTGCCAGTTTGACTTGATGGAAGCACCCAGACATGCTATTAAATACGGGGATAAATGGTTTTGAATTCAGCATAGATACCGTTGAAAGGCAAAGTCTCTTTTAGGGAAACAGCTACTAGACCCCGTTTTATACGGGGTCTGGTAGCTGTTTCCCGAAAGTCTACGGGGAATTTTTGACGGAGTAACGCATTAAATTCGGTCTTGTGCCAAATCTGACCGCGTGGGGCGGTTGATAGATATACTAGAGTTGGAGATTCATTATTCTTCTAACAGTTGACATGCCGGAGCGTACAACGGCCGAAACGTTGTAATAAATATGGCGACAAAGATGAGGACAATAGTCAGAATAATGTACATAATACCTCATCTCAGAAATATAGACAGAATCTTATGTGTTGTTCTTCTTTTAAGTATTATCTATCGTTCATTTGTATGATTATTCTATTCCGCCTTCCCTAAAGTCTTCTCATTCTCTATCACCTCCAATAGCCCCTTACGTTTTAATGGCATTATCACCTTGCCTGGGGTGAATTGATTAAAAAATAGTTGCTTGATTATTTTAGCCTTGTACCGGGTTATTTAATTTTCCTCATTTCATTGGAATAAAAAGTTTTTTTTTCTTTTATTGGAAGTTTAATTGATTCTAAAAGATAGTTTTCATTTTCAGAACTTTTATTACTGAACCCCTCCTTACTTGAATATCTAACCAATGAAACAATACTGATGATAACCAGAGGGAATTTGGTCGAAACGTTGTGTCTATAATAGCAACTCTATCAACCAAGATGTGAATAATAGTTCGAAATATACAAGTGTATTGGCAATCACTCATCTCTGAAATGAAATACTAAATTCAAAAAAAGTTGTACGTTGTACGAACCATCTTTCATAACCTGGACATCGCAGAGAGAAAATATCGCAATAATCCACAGATATCCTATATCAAACTCCTGATGGTGACCAGAGGGCACGTGGTCGAAACGTTGTGTGTATAATAACATCTCTATCAACCAAGATGAGAACAAAAGTTCGAAATAATACAAGTATAAATTTTCTCACAAGAGACTCGAAACGACGAGGATGCAACGAGGAAGTTTTAAGAACTGATTGGTGGATTTGTTTTCTACGGCTTATCAACCCTTTGCAGCTTATTTAAATTTTTCCTGTAATTTTCTTTTTCTTTTTGGCGATAATAATGGTTTAGTGATACATATCTAACTAATTAATCCATAGCTGGGGAGAAGAGGTGGATTCACGCATTTCCAATGGATATGTACACCTAAATTGAGTTAACGAACTCGGCACTCCGACTAACAATTCTGATCCGTTATCGATTACACCACCTGCACATCCAAGCTTGCAGTACCTGGTATACCCAAGCGGTCGCCCATCAAGGTACTGACCAGGTTCGACGTTGCTTAACTTCGATTATCATATGGGAAGCGGTGTTTCAACGTGATATTACCGGAAGCCCTTCTGAATGAAATAAGTGGAACTGTTCAAAAGCGATTGATGGACGAGCTAGCGTGAAATCACAAGTCATCGTGACCGAGAGTTTGAGTGTATTGTTATACTTGTTCAAACTGTTGATCACACCAAATGATGCGATCTTTCCCAGAAACTGTAATTAAGGTCCATTCAACATAGTTGCTGTATAAACTACAGATGAACTCTTTGGGAGTCTCGTCCCAATTAAAACAACAAATCCTTCTGATGACGCGTTGGTCGCAAAAATCCTTAAGGAAAAATGTCGACAATTCTTTTCAAGTTAGTATATTTATTCTGCGTTATTCTGTTTTAATGAATACCCATGTTTGAGTAGATGTCCTGTCTATTTATTAAACAGTATATTTATTTATTTATTTCTATCTACCGGCCTGAATATTCGAGAAACTTGGAAAAATCCTGCTGGCGTAAGCATATTTTTAATAAATATACTGTCTATAAATAAACAAAACATTTACTGAAATATAGGTATCCATCAAAAATAATATTCAAGCAATATATTAAAATATGTCGGATTAATAAATGAAAAAAAAATATATATATATATATATATATATATATATATATATATATATATATATATATATATATATATATATATTTATTTTAGGATATTAATAGAAAATTAATCAGAAATAAGACACATGCTGGTATATATAAATAATAAAACCACATTTATTTGATGACACGCTTTTATGTAATATACAGATATGTTATCTGCAAGAAACAAGGACTGCTTTGTTGGACCACATATAAAACATGCTGGTAGATAAAAAAAAATTTTTTTAAAAACTGCATTTATTTGGTCGTACAGTTTTAAAATAATATCCACATTTGTTATAAATGCAGTTTTAAAAAAAAATTTTTTTTATCTACCAGCATGTTTTATATGTGGTCCAACATTTATTTGATGACACAGTTTTAACGTAATATACAGATTTAATATCTCCAATAAACAAGGAAGCTAATTTAGACCAGATGTAAAGCACATCTTGTTAGATATAAAGAAAAAGAAAACGCATTTAGTCGATGGCACAGTTTTACGTAATATACACAACTGTTATCCGCAATAAAGAATGCTAAGTTGGCCCAGCTATAAAACACATGCTGTTAGATACAAATGATAAAACCGCATTTATTTGATGAGACAGTTTTATGTACTGTACACATTGTTATCTACAATAAACAAGGTCAGCAAAAATGCACAAGATATAAGATACATGCTGGTTAATATAAATAATAAAACATTTGTTTGATGGCACAGTTTTTGATTACGTTTTCTGTATTAAAAAGGACATCAATAAACAAGGTTAATATAAATAATAAAATGCACAAGATATAAAAGTATTACATCTAAGTTAGACCAAATGAGAGACACATGCTGGTTAATATAAATAATAAAACTTCATTTGTTTGATGGCACAGTTTTAAGTGATATAAACACGTTTTCTGTATTAAAAAGGACATCTAAGTTAGACCAAATGAGAGACACATGCTGGTTGATATAAATAATAAAAACATTTGTTTGATTTGATTTAAACACGTTTTCTGTATAAAAGGACATCTAAGTTAGACCAAATGAGACACATGCTGTTAATATAAATAATAAAAATTTGTTTGATGGCACAGTTTTTAAGTAATATGTTTTCTGTATTAAAAGGACATCTGCAATAAACAAGGACATGCTGGTTAATATAAATAATAAAACTTCATTTGTTTGATGGCACAGTTTTAAGTAATATAAACACGTTTTGCTGTATTAAAAGGATAAAAATAGAGACACATGCTGGTTGATATAAATAATAAAAACTGCATTTGTTTTTTATTGAACCATTTGTTATCTGTCATTTTGTTGGACCAGATATAAAAACAATGTTAGATAAAAATAATAAAACTTCATTTATTTTTTATTGAACCTATGTCATTTTTAGCTTAATCAATGACCAGAAATTTGTCTTAATATTTTAAGCAACATTTGTCTAATTCTTTGAGCAACTTAATAATTCTTGCTTATTGCCGATAACAAATATGTTTCTATATAATACCAAAGCTCTTATCCTGTATGTTTGTTCCCGAGATATAACTTAAACGATGCCTTATACCCCAACCAAGACGTTCTTGTACGTTGAAGCCCTGCGAAGTGCAGTATCAAATTTCTTTAAAATTAGACATGTGTTTCTTTGGCTGTTGTCGTTTTTTTTTTCCTTTTTACGGCATTTTTAATAAGTCAGTATTTGTTTTAGATACACATTCTTATCCGCGTATATAAAGAAACACTTGGATAGTATGTTCTAAATATTACGTGTGTGAAAAATAATAATCTTTCATAATACATTATAACAACATTATTGAATAAATTTAATTACTCATAACACAACATATATTTATACAATTAACTATGCTACATTAGAACTTTTTTATAAACAAATATCTTAGATGTTTGGCAACTATTTGATAGCCTACGAGGCTACGTGGGTGTGTCATTGTGAAACGTAATCTGTATGGCTGGAAAATTCTGCCACATGTCTTGATAGTAAATAAATCCATATATAGGCATGCTGGTTTGCCGCCGCTATATATTTTGAAATAAATGTGAGGAAGAAACATGTCTGTATAATAAAAAAATATAATTATTATTTTGAAAAAATACCTAAAAAAATTAAAAAGCGGCATCCATACTTTATGTTTCAACAACTATGAATCGCCCTAACCAAACGATTGATGTTTGTTTTATTGGGGTTTTTTTTGGGGGGGGGGGGGGTTCACCTTTGAAAATTATAATATGATAAATAATAAAATTGGTATAAATTGTCACACCCAGGGCTACTATTACTAGGATGGAAAGGCATTTAGTGTGATATCAGTTTGCAATTCCATTCTAAAAAAAAAAGGAAACTTTTTCTTATTAATTTCTTATTGCGTTTGATCTTCTAAGTAATACTGTATAACGTGAGTAATAATAATTATAACAATAACTTGTATTTCAAATACAAATTAAAATATGTGTAATAAACTTGATAATATTGTTAGCCCATAATGTTGTATCATGAACGGCTTTTAAAGGAACGTAATGGGTTTATGAGGGGGAGGGTTCTAGTATTATATAAAACTAAGTTATTAAATCGATTTTATGCAGCACAGCATGTGTCTTATATCCGGTTCTACTTAGTAACTCATGCTTATTGCAGATAACAAATGTGTATATAATGTAAAACGGTGACATCAAGTGAAGTGTGTGTGTAGACCTTGGCCACAATGTCCACTCAATTACAATGCGACATATATATATTTATATATAAATGAAATAAATCCTAAAGAGCCAGGAACAACCTACCTAGGTTTCACCTAAACGGATCTTCAGGGTAAGATGGCTAAAAAGAAAATGACATGAAACGGTATTTATTGATAAAATCAGTAAAAACTAATTAGCATAAAACCTCGTGACAGAAGATAAAAACAGAGCCTCTATTCCAATAACCAGGATTTTCTATGCCTACACCTGATTAAACTCTCAGATCATTGATTTAATAAATTATTAGGTTCATCGAAGGAGGCTATTGCTAATTTTTCCTCCATACATAATAATCAATACTTGTCCCCTGCTTTATACTTATAGCATTTTTTAGTATTTCCCATTTTAACATGGAGTCAATACCATATTCCTGTTCAATATTCCATATGTATGTAGACAGGCTAGTGCTGTGTTTGTAATTAAAAGCGTTACTACAATTATTTAAGTAGCTTTAAGCTTGAAATCCCGAGGAACTTCGGGCGGTTGAAAAAAGAATTGTGTCAGTCTTTGTGGTGGACAAGCGTTCGCGCAAAATTTGTCGCTCCACAAAAGACACTGTTATCAAAGCCTTGACTTCTCTGGGCATTAAAGCTCAGAGGGTCATCAAAGGGAAAGGCTTTTTTATGTGGGACGTACTGTTACCCACACCTGCCGATTGTGAAGCAGCAACCACAAGAGATCTAATAACCAAATACATAATTCTGCGGACTGATGAAGGCAGGCGAGGGCCATGTATCAGTATATGAGGCTTCTCCTCAGATCGTCGGGGAGAACTTGGCTACCTATCTGTGCCAATTTGGACAGATACTCAGTGCTTCCTCTGACGATCTGACCAGGGGTGGAGTTTTCAGACGCTGATTGAAAGGAAAGCCTTCATCTCCATCCACAACTGTCTGGATGTAGAGGAAAAGAAAATGCCGATAATCGTCACCGGGCATAGACCAACATGTTGGAAGTGTGGACAGACTGGTCACCTGTCCTCTTCCTGCACAGAGAAGAAGGCTTCTGAAGTTCTTGCCCACGCTCAACCAAATCCCCCTTTGGTTGAGTCTGTTGTTTCCGTCTCGCCTGTAATGTGCAAGCTAGTGATCAGGACCGGTGTGGATAAATCCCGGTTGGGTCCAACTCTCAGCCCCCATTCCCCGAAAAGCCTTTGTCCGCCGCTAGTCCAGTTGCGGAGAAGGGAGAGGTGGAATGGCAGGTCATTGGTAGGGCAAAAGGGAAACTCTAGTCAGCGGGACCTCGTTCTACAACAACTAAAACAGGCAAAGGCTCAAACAGCTCCACTCCCTCTAGAAGCTCCACGGACGACTCTCCGACCAGCTATTCCGATAGACTCAAGCAACTGCAATATGAACCAAAAAAAGAAAAAACTACAAAAATTAAAAGAATCCCTTACACAGAAACGTCTGCAGGCTGAAAAATTAAGTGACTCATCTTCGGCTCCAGCGTCTCCATCTTATAAACAGCAGCATATGACTCCACCTCCTATAACAAAAGTACTGCCTTCCATCCCTTCCAAAATGACTACCCTCAAGAAGGCTCCCAGCCCAAAATCCTTAGCCAAGAAAAAGCCTACCCCTGTCCATACCCCTAACCCATCCTCTGTCCAAACTCCCATTAGCTCCCAAAACATCAGAAAAGTAAAAAAGACAAAGAAGTCCGTCAATC